CACACAGTTCTTGGTCATTCATTTTTTAAAAAACAGGTACATAATAAAATACAGTGTGGATTTACCTTAATGTAATTTGATGATTATGAAGGTTTCCCCTCCCTAAGTTTTTATTTTAAACTTGCTTACGTAGGAAAGTGTTGTCCAAGTCTTGTCCATTATCAATTTTCCCTCCTGGACCTTTCCTAACCACATTCAGACATTGTTATTGTCTCCTTCACTCTCCTCTTTCCTTTTCTCCCCCGCTTTCTCGGTTCTCTATTCCCTCTCTTCTCTTTACTTTCTTTTCCCATCACTTCCCAGCTAAACTTGAATGAGTTATCTTAACTCATTGTCTCATATTTTTTTTCCCATTCTCTTTTGACCCTAACTCCAGTTAAGTTTTGACCCTTTTATTACAGTAAAATTCGCCTACTCAAGATCAGTAAAGCCAAACTCACTGCCATGGAGTCGGTGCTGACTCATAGCAACCATCGTGTTTCTGAGGCAATAAATATTTACAGAAGTAGATTGCCCCGTCCGCCTTCTGCAGAGTGACTGGTGGGTTTGAACTGCCAACCTTCTGGGTAGCAGTCGGATGTCTTAGGCACTATGCCACCAGAGCTCTGTAAGAGTGTTCAGTATCAATAGTTGTTGTGCCCAGATCTTGAATTCCCAAAAACCACCAAGGAGCCGATTCCACTGCAAAAGCATAGGGGTTGTTTATTGAAGCTCGAGCTTGGACCCCCAACAGTCACCGATGCAGCGGTTCAGGATTGAGAGCCCTGAACAAAGGGAAAGGGGGTCTTTTATCGGGGATGGAGCAGGTACGGGGAAGTTTCAATCAGAAAATTACAGGATTGGTTGTCATTTTTCGAATTGTGCGTTGTCCCTACTTGATTGCCTCTGTCCTTCGGACTGAGGCCACCAACTGCCCTTTCTAGCTATTTTAGGTATAGGAATTTCAGGTATTTTCCTGATATTTACTGATTGGTTGTTGCTAGGGGCTATCTAGGGGGTGAGGGTAATCAGGACTCTGTGCAGTAAAGCCCTGAGGTGTGGGGAATGTGCTGGAGTTCTCAGCACTAATGGCTCCTAGTTAAAGAATAATTACCTGGAGGGCATTAGTACAAACGTGTGGTCTCACATAGTGACACCCAAATTGCTAAATCCAAAGATCATAATAAAGGTGCTTATCTTATCTGGCTTATCAGCAACATTTGTTTTATGAGTAACTATCTTTCCCTTGAAATATTTTTTGCGTTTTCCGGGCTTCCAGGGCACCACGATTTTCTGGTTTTCTTACTTCAGTTTCTAGCTTTTTATTTCCAGTCTCTTCCTAGTCTCCCTGACTTCTAAATGTTGAAATGTCTTAGAACTCAGCCCTAGGACCTCTTTTTATTTATTTTTTTCCTCTGTTTAAACTCAGCCTTAGGTGATTATAACTAATCACCTAGGCTTGTATTTACTGATGACTTACAAATCAATTTAGCTACACTGAATCGCTCCCCTGAACTCTAGGAAAGAGGATATCTAATTTCTACATGAATTCACTTGGATGCCTGATGGTCATCTCAAACTTAAAAAAAAAAAAAAAAATGCTGCCACGGAGTCATTTTCAGCTCATGGTGACCTTGTGGTAATGACCCCAATGGCTGATTTTTTGGAAGTAGATTGCTAGCCCTTTCCTTTGAGCCACCCTCTAGCCTCTTGATTAGCAGCCAACCATTACCCATTTACACAACCCAGGTACTCCTCTCAAACTGAAGATGTTCAAAACTAAGCTGTTATCAGCTCTCTTTTCTCCCTGTTTCCAAAGTTCAAGTCTTCTCACTACCCTTGCTGTCAAGTTCTGCCTAAACTGTTACATAGTTCTTGAATTGTTTCAGTAAACTACTTCCTACTTTGTTACTTTACTTCTGTCCTTTGATCCTTTTGAGTCATTCTTAACACATATACCATGTTCTTGTTGAAACTTAAATCATGTCATTCCTCTCTTCAAAACCCTCCCTTATTTTCCCATCCCATTGAAACAAACTTAAAACTATTTAGGAGCTCCTAAACAAAGGATGACCTCTCTGATCTCATCTCCTTTTCTCTTCCTTACTTTCTCCACTTCAGCCATGCTAACCTTGTTTTTGTTCTTTGAACATACCAGGTATCAACCTCAAGGTCTTTGCACTTGTTTTCACTGACTGTATGTTATTCTCCCAGTTATCTCTGAATGACTACAGTAGCTTTTTTCACTTCCTTCATTCTTCACATCTTAAAGCTTAAAATCTGGGCAGATGACAGCAAGATGGCGGACTAGGCAGAAAGACTGCACAGACCCTCTTCAACAAAGAAAAGGGAAACCAATTAACACGGACACAGAAGATAATCCTGGAC